TGTGGACGTAGCCCCAGTTTAATATATTCCTTATGTTTCCTTTCCTGGGTGTCAGTGCAGCCTCGTTTCATCCTGTCTGAAACAAGCTCCTCCCCCTGTAAGCCCATCGTCTCTGTAGGCCAACCGTCTGCCGCTTGGCTGTCCCATAAAATCCCACTGGTGACCTTACTCTGTGCCAGCTCCTGTTCTAGTCAGAGATAGACACAGATCAGGCCTAGTCCCTCCACACTCAGGTCTCTACATGCTGACAAATGAGCTACTTATGGCTCCTGAATAATCAAGATGACTCATTATCTCCCCATTAGCCTAAATGATGTGACATTTCTTCATGAATTGCCTATAAAACACAAGCGTGCTCCATCTGACAACCATCTGTGGCTGAAATTCAGTCACAATGGCTTCAGCATGACGGCTGCTCTTTATGCTGCTCATGGATGACTGTGGCCTGTTAAAGGATTAATGCATTTACATGAGAAAACACATTTTATATCAAGCTTCATTCCTATCTGGTGTCAACATTGATTGTGAGCATATAAAATAATAATTAAACAGTCATTTTGTGAGTACAGGGAACTGATATAATATGCAATATTCTTTAATGGATCGTGACGTCTGCACAGCATCGCTTCTGTCCTCCACAGGAGGTTGGAGGGCAGGACTGAATCAGTTATGTCATGTTCATTTCATAAATGTGGACATGAAGGGATCCAGCTCCTTAGCTGGGACACAGAGTGAGCGGCTCTGATGGGACTCGGTTCACCGCACTGTTGGGTCATCATCACTGGAGGACAAATGATGCACATGTTTCATTGTAGCGAGTGAGCGTGAGGGAAAGCAACATCTCCAGATCTGCAGTCTGCTCCACGTTCACAAGTTCAGTTTGAACGTTTTCAGTTCATAAGTTTTCCTGTTGCCTTTACATTTTGGCTGGGGTTAATTTTGTCTGTCGAACGCTTAAACAAAAATAACATATCAAACAAACAGACCTAAGATTTTGTTTTTTAACCAAACTTAGAAAAGAGATCTGTCTTTAAAACAAAAGCTTCCGTTTATGAACCTTTTCAAAATGTTCATTTGCTGGTGGTGGACTGTGAAGGACTGGCACAACAGGTGGGAAGGTGTAAAACTGGAAATTCTACATATATTAGCTTTTTGAAAAAGTCACTTCCCAATGAAAATTCCCTTTAAAGATGAATCCACTGGAAGCTGATAGGAGGGAAACGCAGGACAGGTTGGATAAGCTGACACAATGATAGTCGGGGAGCACAGAGCAGAGTAACAGACGAGACAATCACAAGGCCAGGAAAAGAGCAAAGACAGGAAGTGAAACAGAATGCACAATTAAAGGCTACTGTCAAAATAAAACAGGAAGTTACTATAACCCGTGAAACACACATAAACAGACAGGGAAGCTCAAGACTGAGAAATACAGAGAGACTGAAAAACCAACTACAGAGTGCTTCAAAAATCTAAACCCGTGAATGAGTTTGTTTTTACTGCTCAGTGAAGTCGGTTTTCAGATGCATGTTTGCTTCTCTTTTCATGTTTTGTTCATAAACACAGTAACTTCCTCACCAGTGAACTTAAAAGCTGGAGTTCAGTTTTTATTTTAACTTGTGTAAGAGGCTCACTTCCCTCAGAGCTTGTGTCGTGGAATCAAATCACATATTTTTGTGCTTTCGTCCAGTTTGTCCAGTAAGAGTAAACCAGCACTAAAGTTAAAAACAGATTTCTTTTGTTCTACAGTATTTACTGTGATCTCTGTGTCGGTGTGGCCGGAGGATTCAGTGAGAAGCTGCAGCTTTGAACCAACAGCAGAGATGTTTGTTGGTTCTCTTTATGCGCTGTGGACAGATTTACATGAGCCTGCAGTCTGTGGTGAATTCCTGGTTTCTGTCCTGAGCCGGAGCTTGTTCTTGTGGGACTGCGTAACTGTCTGAATGAACTCTGCTATTATTGACTCTCATTTTATTTAAAAAAAACATTTTTGTCATTTTTCTTTTCAGTAAAATCAGAAATGACAGAGAAGAAGGAGGAGAAGAAGGAGGAGAGTGTGAAGAAGGTGGACCTGTTTGACCCTGTGGATAAAGTCGAGCAGAAGAGTGTAAAGGTTGAGTTCACGAGCAGTGAGAGTCCGGTTAAGGTGGAGGAAGAGGGAGAAAAAGACAAAATGAAGGAGGCAGAGAAACGGGAAGAGAAGGTGGATAGAAATCAAAAGGAGGCAGAAAATCTGATAGAAAAGGTGGATGAAAAACAAAGGGAGCCTGAAAAAGAGATGGAAACAGAGAAAGTGCCGTCTGTGCAACAAAAGCCCGAGAAAGAGGATGACGTGAAAGCAGAAGAATTGTCAGACAAGTCAGAGATAAATAAAGCAGAGAAGACAGAGAAAGAAGAAAAAGTGGAGGCTACAGAAAAGCTGGAGTCTGACGTCGAGAAAGCACAGAATGTGGACAAAATTGCACAAAATGACAAGTCCAAAGTGTCCAAAGTGGAGGACAAAGCAGAGAACAAGACCACAGAGAAGCCCGAGATCACAGAAATGAAGGACGGCAAAGAGCAGCACATCAACAAAGTGGAAAAGACCCCAGAGCAACAGCCGACATCCGTCAAGCTCGAGACCAGCTGTGACCAGACAGAGAAGAAGGCCGACACGGAGACAAAGGCGACAGCGGAGCTGGAAGACGCCAAGACAGAAAAGGCTGACGCAGGCGAGGCCAAGAAGACGGAGAAAGTGGATGAGGCGATGAAGCCGTCTGAGAAGCCGGTGGAAAAAACAACACAGAAGGAAGAGAAGCCGGACAAAACGCAGGAAGACAAAAAGACGGTTGAGAAGAAAGACGAGAAGAAGGACAAGGCTGCAAAGGCAGACGGAGACAAGGCGAAGAAACCTACCAAACCCTCAGCCAATGGAAGCATTTCAACACCAAGCAAAGAGCTGGCAGACAGGAAGACCAAGGTAGGGATCAGTGGAAGGTGTAAGAGTGAAATGTTGCTTTGACGTATGCTTAGGATCATTCTGATAAAACACTGTTTTAGTATCACAGCGAGGGTAACGCCCCACTCAGGGTGGAATTTCAAATGTAATACCTAAATGTTGGCACGCTACAGTAATGCGGTAACAAGTCGAAATGATAGCAGTGTACGATTTCACAGCAGTTAGCATCTTACATCATAAATCATCCAAACTGCTAATAAACATCAGGCTGAATACGGACATGATGGCTGAAAGCATCTGAGACGCGCAGCGTGGGAGCGGACAGGATGGCATGAGCGCATTTTAAAAACCGAGCGTGCATGCTGCCTAAGCGTCTGTCCTGCTTGTGTTTGTTTACTGCCTTGAAGCGACAGAGTGAATGCTAAGTGTTAGTTGTTTTTGTTTTCTGTTTTTTTGTTCTCACTTTTTGTGACTTTGTGATGTAATTGCTGCTTGTGCTGCTTGACCCTGCTCCTGTTACCATCCATTTTTGTTAATTTTATCCATTTTCCTTGGTTTCCTTGGTTTTACCCTCCATCCATCATCCATCCATCTCCTGCGTGTCGGTCCTGCATCGCAGCCTGCTGCTGGGGCAACCAAACCAAGCGCAGCTGCCAAAATGCGCCCGAGCACTGCAGGTGCTGCTGGTCCTGCTCCAGGCCTGACCAAGCGTCCCGTATCCTCTGTCGCCACCTCCACCCCCCACACTACAGACAAAAAAACAACCACAGCTAAAGCACCTTCCACAACAGCTGCAGGGTCTAAGCGACCCTCCACCACTTCTGCCAGCCGCCTCACATCATCCTCCACCAGCACGACACGTGAGCTTAAACCCAAGGTAAGTTTTAGCTAACAGGAAGCGGTCAGCGGCAGCAGCCTGCTCAGTTACACAGAGCTGCACGATTGACGTCATCACAATGAGTCCTCCTTATGTTTTGAAGTGATTTTATTAAACCTCATCCACATCGATCAGGACAACAGATTTCTTACTTCTTCAGCTTTTTCTAACTAAAGTTAGGATCAGCGGAGTTTCTAACAACCGTCTGTTTCCCCCTTGGTCATGAATCTTTGCCATCTGGTGTTTGCGTGCACAGGCTCACAGAGACGGTGAAAATGTAAATGCATGTAAAGTTTGTGAGCTGGAAATGCAGGAAAAAGCCAAGAGGGTTAAACACGCTGAAACATTTAGCTGTGCCTCTGGTTTGAATGAACAGGAGTGTGTTACTGTAGCCGTGTGTGTTATATGAAAATGTGTTGAATTCAGACAAACACACGAGTGGTTTTTATAATAACTATGCAGATATTGGTTTTTATCCACCGCAGGAGCTGCAAACATGCAGTTATAAGAATTAGTTTGTCTGTATATGGAACTGATATTATGTCAGGACGAAGATGTGACACTAACCTTTCATGGCTAATGGCCCCGCCCCTCCCTGAGCCTGGGACTGCTGGAGGGTTCTTCCTGTTAAAAGGGAGTTTTTCCTTCCCACTGTCACCAAGTGCTGCTCATAGGGGCTCATATGATTGTTGGCCTTTTGTATTATTGTAGGGTCTTTACCTTACAATATAAAGCACCTCGGGTCAAATGTTGTTGTGAGTTGGCAATAAAATAGAATAAAAAGTTCTATTTATTAATTGGCTTGTCCGCTTTAATGCCTTGTTCCCCAAAAAGTGCAGTGAACCTTCTGTCAGCCTCTTCTGCTGAGCTCCTTAAAGGTAAACACCGTTGCACCAACAACATATTAGCAGCCCTGATGGAGCTGCAGGGGTGCAGGGTGACTCATGTTGCAGGACGGCTCGGCTGAATGTGAAGGTTAGCCTGCTCTGAGGGTTACAAGAGGCAAACACGCTGCTGAGTGAAATGTGTAATCATCGTTGAGGGCTTTGGGTCCATATCTTCCGCCAATCGGGGCAAAATCTTTGACCTGAGTATCTCAGTGAGGCCAGCGAACATTTGCCTGGACTGATCACAACATCCAGGCACACTGAAGATGCTTTGTGACCTAATTTGCTGCTGCCTGTTTTGTTGATTTGATATCCCTCTGCAGATGCTTGCCCATATTCATTCGTTTCTTCTCTCTCTTCCTGGATGACATATTACCTCGCCCAGATTTATTTTTCTCTTTCTTTTCAGACAACAACAGAGAAGCGCCCCCTAGTGACAAAGTCCAGCACTGCTGCCTCAAATCAAACCGGTTCAGCCAGCAGAAACACGTCTGCTGCCACAGCAGCCAGTAAAACCACTGCACCAGTGCGCACGGCAGGATCTACTCGCACCACTACCACTGCTGCAGCCAGAAAGCCTCTGGGTATGTGTGTGGCTTTCTTTACACTCTGTTTATTTATTGTGTTGATAAATTACACTACTGACAAAGGTTTAAACATTTTCTTTTTAGCCTCTAAGACAGACAGCAAACCAGGAGAGGAGAAGAAACCCAGCGCCCCGAGGACTTCGACAGGTAGAAACCACTACAGTGTCCGACCTTATTAGACTTCGACTTTGTCGTTACTACGAGCAGAGCAGTTTCATTAGGCCTCGCTCAGAGTATTAGTTCTATTCTCTCGGGCTGGCTCAGACGCCTGCGTGTAGTCTGCTTGTTTTCCTTTGTTAGTACATGTGTAAGCACATGTTTGTGGCTCGGTCATTCTAAGACTTGCAGATAATACGTTTAATAATAATAATAATAATAATACAGTTTATTTATAGGCACCTTTAAAGACCCTCAAGGTCAACTTACATTAGTGCAACAAAAACATATGGTAAACAAACAAAACAAGTATTAAAGCTAAAGAAGGTAAAAATAGACTAAGACGGAGTCACAATGAAGTGCATGCAGTTAGGACTGTTGGAGGAAATAAAGCATGAGGACTCAGGTGTGCTGGGGTTGAGCAGAACTCTCCGTGGCCACACTTATATATATGTGTGCAGTGAGAGTCTGCCTGTGCCACCTTAGAGCTACCGAGTCTTCTGACACGTGGCACAGACGAGTAAAACACGCCCACTAATCAGCTGAGTGCAGCGAGTACGGGCTCGGGTTCTGTTTGGGTTACAGCACTTTAACTCTTTATGGCACAGATTCAACAAGGTTCAGCTGGAAACGCTCCTCAGAGGGCTTTGTCCTTTTTTAGACGACAGCATCATACAGATCTCCTGCTCCACATCCAGCTCAGAAAGCTAACGCGAAGAGCAGAATGTGCTTCAGCTGTGAACCGCTGATACGTATGGATCCGACCTTTGATGCTGTGTACACCTGTAGTTTAATCCTGACCCTTCTCAGGCTCATCACACCAGGTTGTTGTACAGTCTGTTTGTGAGCTCGTGTGAACTGTAGCCTCTGTTTTGTGTTCGTTGCTGACATGAGGTGTGGTCTTCTGCATTTTTCAGACCGGTCTCTATAAAGGCCAACCCGTCTGGCACCGACAGCCAGGTTCAAGGTCACAGTCGATCATTTTTCTCCACATTCTGATTCTCAGTTTAAACTTCAGCTGGTCATCTTGACCATACCTGCTTGGCTAAGTGCTTTCAGTTAGTTATCTGCATTAACAAGCTGTTGAACAGGTGTACTGAAGCCACTGTGTACAGCTCGACCGCTCGGGGGTCGACGCTGTGGTGCATGTTCTGTTCTCAAGATGGGACAATACTTTAGTTAAAGTGCTGCACAGTCCAGTGTAGATACAGACAGCTGTATTGCAGTTGGTATTGATGTGATGAGGGAAAGGATCCCGTGGTACTCGCAGTGCCCCCTCCCATCTGTGCCGTCTCTTTGCATATGTTTCTCTCCTGTTTCTTCTTCTCTGTAATCCTCTCCTCACTTCGCCTCAGTCTGTCTCTTCTGTGCGTTTGTGGCTTTTCTCCTGCTGTTGACAGAGTTTGTTTTGGCATCAGGAGAGCTGTCAGCAGGACTGCGACACCAGAACGCACTCATTGTGTCCGACCGTGACAATGCTGGGCAGGCTTATGCAGAGGGAGGCTTTACTGCTGAAAGGCTCTGGAGAGTTAAAAACCTTCACCGCAGCAGCCTGTGGATTACTGTCCCCTTGCTGTTGACAGGAGTTTGCAGCTCTTTGCTGATGCAGCCTCAGCTCGTCTAAGCTGCCAGGGTTCATGCAGGAAGTCAAATTACTCTTTAGAAACATGAAGGCGAGGGGGAGGATTTCCTCCGTTAAATATGTCTTAACGGGAGCCGGAGATATCCGACAGGCTCTCGGGGAGGACTGACAGCAGGACACGTGGTCCAGGATGCCTCAGCGCTCTGAAAAAAGAGTTGGCATACAGTCCAGCCCAAAGTGTGTGAACTGACAGATTTGAATTGGTGCAAATGTTGCACTGCATCAGTGCAGGCTGGCTTAGGATGCTGGAGCTAAAGTGTCTTTACTCAGAGAGGATTACAGCACTGAAATCAATGGTGTTTGAATATCTCCCCTTTAAAAGTGCCTCTCCCTCACTTCAAAGATACGTGTGGTGCCTCTGTACCAGAGAAAAGGATGCAGACGGGGTTTTTGCACCGCTGTATATTTTTCTGTAATGTTAATTTTAGGTTTTTATGCTAAGGTTGATAACGGGCAGCGTTGTGTGTTTGTTGTTACCCCTCATGCATCTTTGAGAAGACGCGGAGCAATAATGTCGAAACTCTTAGTCTTCCTGAAAACGCGTCTTTAAGATGCTTAACAGAGAGTTTAACATCATTGGAAATAACCAAGAGCTTTACATTAAGAGCTGTGCATTAAATATAAAGCCAGAGGTGATTATCCTAGCTTACAATAAAGACAGGAAGTCGGCTTGTAGCAGTATTTATACACTGCTGCTCAGAAATTCAGGGTCACCTCGTCAGATGCTCGAACCACCTCAACTGGCTCCTTTCCAGTTGAGCCCTCCCAGATGGTTGAACTTCTCACCCTCTCACCCATCTGTAAGGGAGAGTACCCACGATCTCATCCTTCTGGTCACTACCCACAGCTGGTGACCGTAGGTGAGGGTAGGGCCGTAGATCGACAGGTAAAGTGGGAGCTTTGCTTTCACTCTCAGCTCTCTCTTCACCACCACAGGCTGAATCGCTACCTAACGTGGTGGAGTGGTTTGTGTCGTCCGAGGGCTCCTGCCTTGGATATGCATGCCCACCATATTTTATTTTGCTGTTTTACCCTCTTTTTTTTTCTAAGTCTGGTTTGAAAAAGCTGCGATCATAACTCCAGAGAGATCTATAAAGCTCTGTATAATTATTTTCTCCCTTTAGCTGACTCAAGCAAGCCTAAGACCACCACCACCCGCAGCACTGCCTCCACCACCACCACCACTGCCTCCCGCACACGAACCACAGCAGCCAAACCAGCAACGACATCCTCCGCCGCAGGCACGGGGCCAGAGAAGAAGCCCCCGGTGCCCCGCGCCCCGCGGGCCGCCTCTTCAACCACAGCGACCACCGCTTCCCGGAGCACAGCTCGCCCCGCCACAGCTCCCGATGTCCGCAACGTCCGCTCCAAGATCGGCTCTACGGACAACATGAAGCACCAGCCCGGAGGAGGGAAGGTAGGTCTTCACCGCTGTATGAGTGTGGCATGTGCTCTCTGACACCGACTGCACATGGACTAACAGGAAGTGGACTGTGCAACTCTGATTTCACGTCTGACGCTGACCTCTTGTGGGTTCCTACCTGTCCAACCCACTAAAGCCTATCAGCTCACTCACTGAAGTAAAATGGTCTCCATAGTTCTGCTTCTTCTCTTTTTTGCGTGGGATTTCCTCTGCATGTACATCTACTGTCATTGTAGACACACAACTTCCATCAAGGCTCTTTAGAAAGAGGATGGATGTTGAAAAGGTTTACGACACTGGTCTCGTGTAGTTTTCTGTGAATGTCAATAAAATAACAGCTAAGATATGAGATCAGGGGTCGTTGCTACAGGAAGTCTAACATTTACTTGATGGACAAAAGCTGATTAATTTGCAGTAACACAGAAAATTAACCTTAAATGATCATTTTAAAAATGCCATTTCATTCATTGGTTCTGTTGTTGCCCTGGTTTCACAGTCCGATGGTGTAAACAGCAGAGCACTGAGTACTGTGGAGTCGATGGGGTTGATCGGGTTCTGCTTGTGCATGCGCTCTCCACTCTTCCTCGCTCCCCTCCTTCTTTTGTCCCCTCACTCCTTACCTTCACCGCTGTGCTTCCAAACAATCTCTGCACTCTGACCTCGTCCTCCTGTGTTTTTTAACGAGGTGTTGTTGTTGACCCTGTGTGGACTTGTCTCCCCAGGTGCCTCCTTCCTCTCAGAGCAGGGGTTTCACCTCCAAAGAGAGCAGCCAGGGCAAAGTGAGTTCCCTCTCCATCCTCCCACCATGACCCTCTTTTCTGTTGATATATTTTCCGGTTGCCTTTCTCTGCTTCTCATTTCTGTTGTTTTTTTATTAACTCGACCCAGTGAGAGCACAAGAGCAGGCTAGCCAGTATACTGGAGGCTCTTGAAATTGCACACGCCTCCTGTTCTCTCTCTCAACACGGGCATCAGACGTGTCTGTGGGGAAATTAGTTATCGGATTATTTATGGTTAATTTGTAATTAAATTTGAACCCTCTGCTCATTAATTAACCAAGATAATTAACCCTGGCCTGGGGTTTGAAGCAGCTTGTGAGTTAACACAATGCAGAGAAGCTGTTTGAAGCAAGCCGCTGCTCTCCCAGTCTAAATCTGTAGTTTGTGGACAAAAATAAAACGTTCGATTCCAAACGTGTTACGATCCATACACCATCCAGGGAGTCTAAATGCATTTTTCTCAGGTTCATTGCATTACAAAAGTGACAGAAGCACACGAATTATTCTTTGACCTTAACTCATTTAAATGTTAACTGTTAACGGGCGTCCGAGTCACTGAAGTCCAGATAAAGATCAGTCACACATGGACACAGTCACCCGCACATGATTGGTACGTGTGATCATTACCTTAGGCTGTATATAAACGATGGGCATGGCCAGTGTGGGTCCACCCACTGATCATAATTTACTCATGAACACCATGCTGTGTTTAGTGGGACTTTAAAAATAGATGTTTACAGCATAAATTCATCAGGAACGTGCTTACTGAGCTCACAGACTGCAGTGCAACCAAACTATGTTCTGGACCCAGACAGCTACAAACGTCATCTATGGACCTTTCAACTTTTCAGCTTGTTGCTCTTCTTCTTTTGTCTCCGTCTTATTGTAGGTCAGGGTGACAAAACAAATAGAAAAACACCAAAAAACACAAGTTGAATAAAAAACAACAATTGTAGGAAAAACTGCAGCAAAAGCTTAAAATTAAATCAGAAACAAAACACGAGTGTTTCTGGGACACAAAACAAAATGAACTGCACTCATTACAAGTAACATTCAAACATGCTGAATAGAAGCAGAGGACTCATCGGTGCTGTGAGGGAGGTGCAGGTGTGTTTTATCGATGTGTTTCATATAATACTGTAGATACATGTTGACCTTTAGCCTGTTAGCCTGTTAGCTTGTTAGCCTGTTAGCTTGTCACTTCTCGTGTCCCCAGAAACGCTTCTGTTTTCCTTTGTGATTTAGTTTTTAGCTATTTCTGCATTTCTTCTATTTTTCACGTGTTTTATTCGACGTCTGCTGTGTTTCATGAGCTTTTGCATTTTTCTGTCTACTGTTGTTTTGTTAAGGTGTGTTTGACCTCTCAGGGCCACCGTACTAAACTCATTTGGATGCAGAATGTGTATGTTGGGTCTAGCAGTCTAACCTGACGTATTGTAAATAATATGTGTGTTTTAATTCTTGGTGTATGTTTAGTTCAGCTAACCAACGTGTACGGCAGCGTCTCCGTTTAAAGAGTTTAATGAGGGTCCGAGACGTTCACGTCTGTATGCTGTGCTGCATGTGTGCTTCATAAAGCAGGTTTGGTGTGCTCTTCAGCTGTCCTTTTCTCCTGGTGCTCTGTTTCCATCTTATTTAAACAGCAGCGATGCTGAACGACCGGCTATGTTTAGCTAAAGAGAACCTCGCTCCGCCTTCTATCCTTTCCTTTCTAACCCTACCTGTGATGGTGACTTCTTCCTCCCTGCACTTTCTCTTCTCGTTTCTGCTTCTGTTCTACCTCACCTCTCCTCTATCATCTCCTCCCCTCTTTTCCCTCGCTCTTCTCTGCTCCCCTCTTGCTGCTATGCTGTGTCCATATAGGTTCAGATAGTCTCCAAAAAGCTGGACTTCAGCCACGTCACATCTCGCTTGGGCTCCAAGGACAATATGAAGCATGTTCCTGGTGGAGGGAATGTAAGTACTGTCTGGCCCACAACCAGAGCCCACATGTCCCGGCCAGTTAGTCTGATATTTAGAGCCCGAATGAAGGGAAGGCCACAGATGAAATGCTGTAAGAGAGGCACAGTGTAAAGAAGAGAAATGTAAGACGATGTTCGTAACGTAAATGCTGCTCTTGGCTGGAAAATGCAGCTTTGTAGTTGTTGGCATGCTGGCCAAGCTTAGGTACAAGCCCCTCCCCAGAACCTGCTTCACACTCCCGCTCGCTTCCTTAAAGTTGTCTTGTGTTGTCCCGCCCTCCCACTAACCTACTAAACCCTACTCAACCCAACAGGAGCCTCTGCCCTCTGATTGGCTGTCTTGGTTCTGTAAGGACAAAATCACTGAGAGAAATCTGGGGTTTCTGGTTTCCTGCAATGATGCTGTGCCAAGCTCCTCCCTTTAGTCTCTGTCGTGGGTTCAGAACAAACATATTTCACAAAAAAACATTTTTCTACAACATGGACGAAGAAACTAGAAGATGCGGTTTGTTCAGCGTGCTGTTTGTCCTGATGCTGGTAACTCAAAGTATAATCAGGACGTTAGAAGGTTTCTTTTTTCTGATTGGTCCTTTTATTCAACCCCAGTCGAGCTTTTTTACACAAATCTGTGGATTAAAGAAGAAACATTTGTGACATTCAACAGGTGCAGATTCTCAACAAGAAGGTGGACGTCAGTAAGGTGACGTCAAAGCTGGGCTCCAAGGACAACCTTAAGCACAAGCCTGGTGAGCTAAACCTGTGTGCTCTGAGTTTGCAGTCATAAAACAACAACAATGAATCAATACATCAGCAGTACAGGCTGTCTGTGACTGCACAAGCTTGCATCTGCGTACATGTGTGTGTTGCAGGAGGCGGCGATGTGAAGATCGAGTCTCACAAAGTGAACTTTAGGGAAAAGGCTCAGTCCAAAGTGGGCTCCATGGACAATGTGAGCCATTCACCTGGAGGAGGAAACATCAAGGTGAGATCGCGAGCCACAGCCGTGCACGCTGTGTTTACGTCCCTCTGAATCCACTGAACTGTTTCTGATCAGTCAACAAACTAAAGAGTGAAAACGATGAGCGCCAGCTGGGGTGACTCGCTTTCATGAATAAAGAAAGTAGCGCTGTAACAACAGTTACAGTTAATATGAAGGACAACTGGTGAGTCAGGGTTTGGTACAACACGACAGAAAAAACAAAGAAACGTTTTTTAAATTTATGACCACAAATGGCGATAATGGCCTTTATCCTTACATTACAGCACTAACACACTCTCATCCTCCCAGTACGGACATCCACTGTACAGTGCTCATATTAAACAAAGTAACAAAAGTGCTTCTGGATGTCAGCGACAGGGTACATGACCTCGTCATGGTCATCTCTGACTGGAAGCAGAGAAGCCCCGCCCACCTGCTATTCACTAGTGTTACAACCCAAAGCAGACCTTCAGTACAGAACGCTGCAGCACCAACAGCTCACACATTACTCCAGTTTTGGCTTCTCTTCATTGGTTGTCAGTAAATTTTAGGTTTCATTTTAAAATTGTAGTTTTATCTGTTAGAGCTCTGCACGGTGAGGCTCCCCAGTTTATCTCTGACCTGCTGAGCACTTAGGTCGTCAGGTCAGAGGTCACTGTTGGTCCCGGGCACCAAGGCTGTGGAGTCTCCTCTGTTGTCTTTAGGCTGTACAGACTCCATCGACTCTTTGAAAAAGCAGCTGAAGACATTTCTGTACAAACAAGCTTTTAATTGACTCTGTGCACGAGACAATGCTAACTTCCTGGTTTGAGACCGGATGTGGGGTTGTGCATTTCTGGTAGCTTTACTTTGCGGTCAATCGCTACTGCGAAGATATATCCTCCAAAATCATGTCCAAAACTCGGAAACGGAAAGATGGCGTTAAGTTACAAAGAGCAGAAGGTGGGAACGCTCACCGCTGCTGTGTCATAAAAAATCTAATGATCAATTTTGACGTTTAAAGAGTTTCGATCGATCAGTTGTTTACATCACTCAACACAAGCAGAACTGCATCACTGCAGCAGAAGACACATCGTCCACATTCAGAAGCACATCTCTGTGTAGTGACTGGTCTCATGATCTAAACAGGCAAATGTTCAGCATTCAAACTACAGGTGAAAACAGTCAAACCAGATGTTTCCCTGTTATGTTGATATCAGCTCGTCAAGTACACACCTACACAGCATGTTAACAAACCCTGAAAAAAAGTCACACAAAAATGAATGATTGCTGGTAACGGTTTCTATACATTAGTATGTACGAAGGGTATGTTGTGACTTACCTTCAAAATTACAGCGGTCCCTCGCTATAACACAGTTCACCTTTCACCTCGCTGTTTCGCAGATTTTTTAGTGCAAGTTTGCTTATTTTTTTACATCACATTGTGTCCTGATCGCTGCAGACGATCTCCTCCGTCTCTCCTGTACAGAATCGCTGCATCGATGCTAGCAGTGTGACTCTGCAGTGCAGTGCTGTATGTCCACGATGTCCACCAAACGTTTTGTACCGTCAAAAAATAAAATGGGCTACTTGATTTCACCTCTCGCTGGTTATTTTTAGAACATAACACCCGCGATAAACGAGGGACAGCTGAGAAATATAACATTTGAATCCTTTTCTCTTTTGCTCTGAGGCGCGGGGAAAAATATTGACAAGTCGATGAACATCATTTACAGATATATTGGGTAAATGCCCGAGACATCTATAGAAACGTAAATCGCTGCTTGATTCGTTCATTTGCTTAACTTGTTTTGGACCGTAAACCAGGCACGAATAGGACACCGGAAACAAAGCTCCCCACAGGAGTTTCTGCACCGAAAGTAGCATATGCTAACGTGCACATAGTCAATTAATGTTTTATATTATTATTTATATTTCTGGTTGTATTGTGAAGCACTTTGTGATTTGTATCTGTGAAAAGTGCCAAATAAATACATTTAACTTACCGACGACCGGGGTTTGGTTAAAAACACAACCTCCGATTTACCCTCTCAAGGCCCAAAATAAAGAGAATATTTCAATCATGCAACCTGACACACTGATGTTTGTGACACACAGTTTTCTGCTGATTTCATCCATATTTAACCGTGAAAAAAACGCTCTTGGTATTAAAATGAAGTGACTGCACCCGTGTTTCTAAATCCCTCATGAGACTAACGACACTTATGATAAATGAATAAAATAAGAACAATATAGATTTTTTAACCTTATGTATGAAAGCTTCAGTTTCACAGCTTTTTGTGTGAGCTGTCCACTGTCAGCAGGGCACAGGATCCAGGCAGATATGAATCCAGAAGTAAGACTTGAGGCAGGAGCATCAGCCCTGGTCTCAAGGCTAACTTTGCTTGTAGCTTGTAGACAACAACTGTTGTGGAGTTTATGTTCTGGGAGCTCAAGTCGACATAAATCAACTTCTCCTCACAGGGTGAAGCAAGGACATTTCAATAAACAGTCACAACTGAATTTAAGTTTAAAAAAGACCAAACCTGCTTCTTCAGGATTGTCTTGGCTTCATTCTCACAGACGTAGGATCATTTCATCAGAAGAATAATCAGAATAAAATAATAATTTATGAAAAAATCCCGTCCTGAAAATCACTGACACGTGACATCAGAACCTTCTTAAACTGCTTTGCATCTGATGTCTCGCAGCATCGCCCTCTGACCCTGACCTCTGTCTGAGGGACACTGTTGTGAATTCAGTTCCTTCCGGTCTGCATGCGTCTGCATGTTAGTATTTAAAAATGTGTTACATCGTGGGATTACTTGTGTATCGGGGCAAAAAATGAAGACTCTGGCTTTTTCCGTTGGTCTTGTTCGGCCTCTGTGTTGGTAATGACATGTAAGGTGGGATGGCCTCACACACCGGCCTCGAACCCTCCTCCCTGCAGCCAGCTTCCTGTCTCCTGAGCTTGCTGTTGTGAAAGCGTCTGGATGCTCCCCCAGCACATTCAGACACAGAAAGCAGCCGTGACAGATAAAGGGCCCATTTTTTGGTTTTGGTTTTTTAATAAAAACTGAAAACGTTCAAAATGTTCATGTTACATAAAAGAATGGATATAAATTCACCAGTTCATCAAATGATAATGATGTCACCTGTCCCCTCAGCCTATGGCAGCCTGTCTGTTTCATGGTCACCACATCGTCACATCTTCATCCTCATTCACTAGTTTGCTTGCCCGGTCATCGTGATCTTCGTGATCATTGCTACGAATAGAACAAACATCAAAATAAGAGCCTATTTTTAGCACTGATTTGCACAGCTTTGTAAAATGTATCTTTATTTTGGAAGCAATGAAAGGATACAGTTTCCCCTTTTTCCATTCTGCAGAATCCAGATTTATGCAGAACCTTTGCAACCGTTGCACAATCCCATGTTTAGTGTCTATTACTGCTCCTTCATTACAATGC